TTAGCATATGTGAAGGAGGTGGCAACAGATGGGGCTGGCACAATAGCTGGGGACCCAAATGAAGGCATTTAGATTTTATCTTGGGTCATAAGAAGACCTTAAAGGATTTTAATCTCAAGAGTAGCATCGTCAAGACTTGTATCACGTGGGGATACCAAAGGGCAGGAGACCTGTTAGGAGTCTATATCAGTCATGGGTAAGAGATGGTAGTGAAATAGGGCAGTGACAACAGGAATAGAAAGAAAGAGGCTAATGAAAAGGGCTAAAGATATAGAACTGACCTGACTTGATCACCAATAGTTGTGTTATATTGGAACTCTTTTAAATGTACTCTTCAACCTTGTAAAAGCCTTCTTACGAATGCAAGTCTGTGACTGTAGAGTAAAGGAAAGTCATGTACTCATTCATACCTGGTGCCCAAAGTCTGTTCTCGTTACAGACTTTGAGGGTCAGGATGAGGCTGGAGGTCTGTTCAGACCCAATTTCTTAGTGGCCCAGATAACATCCAGCTGCATTATACAAAACACTCAGGTACATTATCTCATCATTTTAATCTTCACCATAACCTCGTGAGATAGGGTAGATAATAGTCTCCTTTTATAGATGAGAAAATGACAGGTTGTAAGGATTGTCCAAGCCAAACAACAACAACAAAAAAGGCAGAACTGAGATTTGAACTAAGGCCTGGAGCAATGGCATATAATGGACACTTAATAAACATTTGTCGAATGAGTGAATGAATGTATGAAGGTTCTCTCATTCCCAGCTCACCTCACCATGTCCAATCCATAGGCAATTGATCCTAGAAATCCACTGGGAATCCAGAATAGGCAAAACGCCTGCCCTTGCTCCACTGAGCAACCTATTAGTTCATTCAACCTAGCGAGCATTTGTTAAGCATATATTAGATGCCTGGCATTGACTCAGTCTCCTCCATAGAAGAAATTTAAATTAATTCGTATCTTGCTATTTCCCCTCAGATGCTAAGATGAGTGGGGAAATTACTTGCGAAGCTCTTTGAGTTTAGCGCCGCATGAGCCTCATAAAATCGTGGATAGATGTGCATTAAAAATCCAGGTACCCAGGTCTGTGGCAAAGTGAGGAAGGAGCTGCAGAAAGGCTGCCTGGGTCAACTGAAAAGCATTGTTTCCAATGCTTTCCAGGGCCATCAAGGAGAAGGCAGAGTTCTCCATTATTCAGGAAGTAGGGTCTGCGACCGCCCGCCCAGAGCTGGGAATCTTCCACTGGTTCTGCTGATTGGGCATCTATGAAGCAGGAGTTTTAACGGGCCTTAAAGGCCAGCTAGCGCTCAGGCATCTTCTTCCCCCACCTCCGGCGCACTCCTCTCGAGATTCTACGGTCACTCGCGGGTTGCTGAGGGGGCAAAAGGGAGCCCTCAATGGCTTGCACAGAGCTTCTGCTCTCCTAGGAGGGTAGTGTACACAGTCGATGCTGCTAGTTACCAAAGGCTAAACCGGAGCCCAGAGTATGTTGGACGCAACAAACCAAAGCCCAGCGGCCGGCCGCTGAAGATGGGACTGGGGGGCCGCTGTGGAGCGTTGTAGGCTTTCCTCGGCCCCGCTCGGGCTGCGGGTTCAGCAGCCACAGACCTGACCGGCGCGCTAGAAACAAGCGGAGACCGAGACCCTTTCCGTCTTTAAAGCCGGGGCGGGACCCCGGGTGGCCGTGGAAACTCACCCTGCTTGGGTTTCTCCCGGAGCCACAGCCTGGGGGCGGGCCTAGGGGCGGGGCTGGAGGCGGAGCTAGGGCGGGGGAGGGCCCGCGGTGACGTAGGGCGGGCCGGGACGCGCGGAGGCGGCGGCGGAGCCTCCTCCTTCTGCTGCTGCGCCCCATCCCCCCGCGGCCGGCCGGTTCCAGCCCGCACCCCGTGTCCGTGCCCGCGCCCCCTCCCCCGGGCCCCGCCATGGGCCTCACCGTGTCCGCGCTCTTTTCGCGGATCTTCGGCAAGAAGCAGATGCGGATCCTCATGGGTGAGGCAGATCAAGCGCGCGGCCCGGACCGGAGCACCGGCCCCCGCGCAGCCCTCCCGCCCCCGCGTCCCTCCATCCCAGCTCACCTGTGTCTCTGACCCCGAGTCAGCCACCTCCTAACCCCCCGGGGTCACTGCTCTCAGGCGGGTAGTGGTCTGCAGCGCCAACCCCCAGGGCCTGAGGCCGGGAGCTGCGGGCCTGGGTGGGGTGAAGCTCCCTTCTACTCCAGCCCGGCTGGTAAGAAGGGTGGATTCCGCCCTTGGAGACGACTTTTAAAAACAGTGCGGCTCTCCTCCTGTGCCCGTACTCCCCAGTCCTCTCCTGCCCCTCGCCCTCTTTGGGGGCAGGAGTTGGCATTCACCACCCAGACTACCCTCGAGGCCCCTAAGGTAGAGAACAGCGCGCACCTGCAGGCGCTCGGGCTCTCCGCCCCCGTCACCATCAGCTGTCCCGGCCTCTCCCCTTTCCTGGTCTCTAGGGGGCTCCCTCGCTCCCATCTCCATCCCTATGTCCCTCTTCGTTGTAGTTGGCTTGGATGCAGCTGGCAAGACCACAATCCTGTACAAACTGAAGTTGGGGGAGATTGTCACCACCATCCCCACCATAGGTGAGTCTGGAGGCGAGGCCGGGAGGAGCGGGAGCGCGGCGGCGGGCCTTCTCAGAGTCTACTCCCCATTCTGCCCGAGGCCCTTATCTGCAGGGAGCGGACCCTGATACCAGATAGGCTACCTGAGAAGTGGGTCAGGGTATCTTTACGTGCGGGATGGATGTGACCTAGCCCCGCCCCGTCTGTGGACCGCCGGTCCTCTGGGGGTTCTGCTCTGTTGGGCCTTCATCATTGCCTTCTGGTTTTGTGTCCCTGCTGAATCCACCTAGTTTTAGTGAGTTCCTTCCTCTCGGGACTTTTTCCTCATATTTTTCCAATTATCTTCAGGCTTCAATGTGGAAACAGTGGAATACAAGAACATCTGTTTCACAGTCTGGGACGTGGGAGGCCAGGATAAGATTCGGCCTCTCTGGCGGCACTACTTCCAGAACACTCAGGTGGGGCACTCCCCAACCCCAGGGGAAGACATGTTAGGGTTAGGAAGACTGAGATGTTGGCCTAAGCTGGGCCCCCAGGCCAGGAAAAACCCTTACCGCCTCTACCTTCCTTTTGTAGGCTATCCTCTACTCATCCTTCAGAACTGGCCTTAGTCTTCTGAGACTTAGCCACCTTAGGCTTCTCCTGAGAAGCAGGGTTCTGGGTCCACGATGCCTGATTTAGCTCTCATCACGTGTCTTTCCCTGTTCCCTTGCATGTCTTTTAGCTAGACTGCTTGCCTGAGGGCAGAGGCTGTATCCTTTCAGGGTGTCTCCAGTTTGTGCCAGGACATCTGCAGAACCTTAGTGGAAGTTTACTAGATGAGAAGGGTTTAGATGCAGTCAGAGGTGGGAAGAAGAGAGAAAGGCCAAGACTAGGGTATGTCCCAGGCCAGAGAGATTGCTCTTCTTTCCTTTCTTCCTTCCCACCCAGGGCCTCATCTTCGTGGTGGACAGTAATGACCGAGAGCGGGTGCAGGAATCTGCTGATGAGCTCCAGAAGATGGTGAGCACCCAGGGCCCTGGGGACTGAGCCCTCCGTTTGGAGAGAAAGAGATCTCTGTGCTGGGGTGAAAGGCAGGAAGTGCCTCCCAGGCCTTGAATGTGCATTTCTCCTTGTGGATGCGGACGCAGGGAGTATCTCACCTTGTTTTGAATTCGGGTCAGGTAAAAAGTATAGGACTGACTTTTTTCCTTGAATTCTCATGTCTTCAGATCTGAGTCTGAGAAGTTGGTGGGGAGAGGGGAATTATACGTGGTAGAGAGAAACATCATCTTACATTCTTGTTTTTCCGTTGGGAAATTTTGTTATTTTGACTAAGGCAAGTACTCAAATTAGAAAAAGGCCCTATGTTAATGCAATTAAAAAAAAAAAAAAGCCCTTTCTGGATTTAAGGTCCAACATGGCCACATGCTGATTTATAACTCTATGTTTTGTGTTCAGTAGTAGACTACACAATATTATATTTTTCCCACAAATATGCTAGAAGGCAGAAAGGGGAGCTCCCCTACACAGCAGGAAAGAGGGGGCTAGAGGACCCCGCTGGGACCCCAGATCCCACCCCCTTCACCTCTTTCAGCTGCAGGAGGACGAGCTGCGGGATGCGGTGCTGCTGGTGTTTGCCAACAAGCAGGACATGCCCAACGCCATGCCCGTGAGCGAGCTGACCGACAAGCTGGGGCTGCAGCACTTGCGCAGCCGCACGGTGAGGGTCCTTCCTCTCCCAGGGGAGTCACAGGCTGGGGCAGGAAGTAAAGGCATCCCGTTTTCCTCCCTGCTACTGACCTCTTTCTTTCCTTCTCCCCACAGTGGTACGTCCAGGCCACCTGTGCCACCCAAGGCACAGGCCTGTACGACGGGCTGGACTGGCTGTCTCATGAGCTGTCGAAGCGCTAGCCAACCAGGGGCCGGCCCCTGCTGCCCAGAAGCTCCCGCGTGCATCCCCGGGATGACCAGACTCCCGGACTCCTCAGGCAGTGCCCTTCCCTCCCACTCCTCCTCCCCCGCAGACACAGGCCTCTGCTCCTGCCTGCATGTTCTCTCTCTTGTTGGGGCCTGGAGCCTTGCTCTCTGGGCAGGGAGGGATCCACTCTCCTGCCTGCTAGGACCTGTGGAAGGGGCTTCCAGGGCCAAGTCCCCTTCTTCCAGAGGAGGAGCAGGAATCTGGGTTTACTTGTGTTTTTTCCATTTCGGGTGTACCCTTGGGGCCAGGTAGGGAGGGAAGGTGAGGGCTCCGGGTGGTGCTATGATGTGGCACTGGATATTGAGTAATAAATTTGCTGTGGTTTGTACACTGTGTTGTCTGTAGCCTACAAGTCGGGGGCTGGGTTGCTGGGTGCAAAGAGACGATATGGGGAAGGTTCAAAGCAGCTAAGGCTGTAGGGCCGACCCCTCTCCCTCAAGCATACACACACTTTGCTGCCTTCATCTAGCTCAGCTTCTCCCTCCTTATTCTTGAGGCTGGAAGTACTTTCGGGGTTCCAGTGGGGGAAATCCCATTCCTTCCCCAATTCCAAGGGGCCTTTGCCCAGGGTAACAGGCTCTCCCTTCATGGCTCTGTAAACCACATAACTCTGATCTCCTATCCATCTCCTAGCTACTTAGAGCAGCAGTTCTTAATGATTACTATGCACGTTAAAATTTGAGGGGGAGGAAATGTTCGTTAAAAATAAGGGTTCTGAGGCACACTTGAGAAAATGTGACTCACCAGGATTGGTCTGAAGCCCAAGAATATGCGTCTTTAAAATTACCCAGGTGATTCTGCCACTAGTAGTCTATTAGCCTTGGTTTGTAAAACACTGGTCGGGCCTTAGGGATTACAGTTCCTCATTGTGCACTGGGACTCCTTCTACCTGAGACGACCCCCCTATGGGGACTAAAGGGAGTGTTGGAACCAGGGCTGTGGGCTGTTCTCCAAGTGTGGTTTACTCGGCCCATTTTGTTTTGCATCCCAGCAAACTTAAACAAAACCCACTATCAGCACCATTATTTCTTTTTGCCTTTCTCCCTTCTTTCATGTTGTCAATGTCTCCAGGTTCTGGGCTGGTTTTCTCCATGAGCTTTGTAGGAAATGAGTCCCGGAGGCTACTGGCCAACAGAGACGCTGTGGACAGACAGGGCTGGTGTCCTTAGAGGCAGCACTGGTTGGCTGGCCAGCAGCAGGGCAGCGGTGGGGTTAGGAGGAGGGTGCCCACTGCTCACCCCACCTAGGCCATTCTCCTTACACTATTCCTGAGCCAGCCCTTCCGGATTCATATGAGTAATTCAGTCCTTGCTGGTTAACTCTCTAGGGTTTCCTCACACTCTGAAAAGTACCTTCTGAGACATTTTGGCCTCATCCTCCCAAGGGCCATGAAAGCTAATGGATTTTTCTTGGATATCTTGAACTCCAAAAATGCTCGAGCCCCAAGGGAGCCAGGCGTAACTCACTTCCTAGGGAGGAAAGAGGTTGATTTCTAGCCTGTGATTAAAATAAGGAACAGATGTGAGGACTTGCCTGAGGTCACAGGTGGTCACTGGCACAGGCTGAAAGTCGGATTCTGTCAGAACTCAGCCTACCTCGGTGCCTGGAATGGTGTGGGGAGGCACCGGACTGACTTCCTCCAGGCCGTGGACTGACATGACTGGGCCAGTGCCCTTTCCTCACTATGGTGGGATAAGAGGCAGCCCTCACAGTCACAATGCTCCCGGGTCACAGAGGTGCTGGGCCCTAGGCCAGCCTCTGCCTGGGAAGTTCCCTCCGGGGACATCTTCTGGTGGGTACTGTGGGCCTGATTCCAGGCCCTATGGCCTGTGAAACCTCACCACTGGGGGGAAGGCTGGGCCGGACAGAGTCATCACCTGTGGTGCCAGCCCCATGGATGAGGTAGAGTGGACACGAAGACGACCCAAGCCTGAGGACCTAAGGGTTGGGCTCATCAGCTGGGCAGGGTCCTACCTCACTTATGAGACATATAAGAGTACAGTCGCTGCTACTGCAAAGGGTTTGGGCCGGAGACAGGTAACAGCAAGTCTATATTGGAACCAGTTTTCTCAGTGGCCAAGCTCGTGTGTGTGTGTGTGTGTGTGTGTGGTGGCTGCAGGGGTACGCTCTCAACCTAACTAATTTCCTAGCCTCTGCCACCGCCAGGACAAGACCCTTCTACCCCAGGCTTTTGCTCACAGTCTCCATTGCTCCATCTCCCCTTCTCTAAACCTCTTCCACGAAGTGAAGCCTCAGCCCTGGCCTTGCTGCCTTGTCTTGCTCTGGCTGCTCCGTACCCTCCTCCATCCCACACAGAGTGGTTGTGTCATCACAAAGAGGAGGGTTGGAGAGCCCAGGCTGGAAGGCAGAACTGTGGAAATCCAGGGGAAGCTGGACCAATGAAATTCCTGCAACGTCTATGTTTCTGTTCTGGTTGTAGTCTGAGAATAGGGCACTCTAGAAGCCCGGGAGCATTGGTTTTCATCTTAGAGAGGGATGTAGGCACCTCTGGGATGGTACTACGGAGTGAAGCAGGAGTTAGGTCCTCTTGCTTCTAACAGGGTAGATCATGGCCAAACTAGACAATTGCATCTTGACTGTCTGTGCTCCCATCCTCATCCCTGGAGCTCAGGCATGCCTGTAAGAGGTTTTGCTTTTCTCCTGCCATGTCAGGGAAGGGGCCTTTTTGGATGGAAGTGCTGGCTGAGTGTGCTATCCAGGCGCAACAGTGAGGAAGGGAGAAGTAAGACTTAAACAAAAGCATCTCTTGGAAAATTAGGTATTGAAGGAAGCAGTCAAGGAAAAGAGAGGGAGGTTTACCTTCTGTTAGCTGGAGGAAGTGGGCATCTAGAACTTCTCTTGGGGTCTTGAGAAACCCAATGGTTCCAGTGGTGGAGGTGCCCTGAGATCTTTTGATTTTGTTAGATGAGAGAGTTGAAGAGCTGACAGCAGGGAGGCTGATGTGGAGGGGAAGGTGGTTGGTCTCAATGAAGGTGCTGTGGTGATGCCAGGGTTGATGGGTGTAGGGCTCCTCAGTCTAGGCATTCAGCAATGTGTACTGATTTCCCTCCCAATACCTCCAGACCTGGGAGATCCTGGTGAGCAATGAGCATGACACACAGGCTCTGGTACGACTAAGGAGCTTGCAGGGCCTCTACCTTCTGTGCGAGGCTGATGGCAGTCTGTGCTATGGCCGGCCAAGGACAAGCCACCACGGATGCTTCCTCCTCCGTTTCCACCGCAATGGCAAGTGGACCCTGCAGTGCATAATCAGTGGTCGTTATCTGGAGTCTGATGGTGAGGACGTGTTCTGCAACTCCCGAGTCCTCTCAGCTTACCACATGTGGACCCCCCGGCCAGCCCTCCATGTCCATGTGATCCTCTACAGCCCTGTCAACCACTGCTACGCCCGGGCTGACCCTGGTGTGGGCCGTGTCTGGGTGGATGCACCAGTTCCCTGCCTGAAGGAATGTGGCTTTCTGTTGCATTTCCAAGATGGATGCTACCACCTGGAGACCTCTACACACTCCTTCTTGTCCCACTTAGACCGGCTGGTCTCCCAACCCTCAACACAGACAGCTTTTCATATGCAAGTACGGCCTGGCGGACTCGTAGCACTGAGCGATGGAGAAGGAGGCATGTTGTATCCACAAGGCACACGTCTGCTCCTGGGCTTGGGCTCCAGTCCGCACAGGGGAGAGGAGTGGTTCATCCTACAGCGCTGCCCAACCTGGGTCAGCCTCAGGTCAAAGGCCCACAAGTTCCTCTCTGTCATCTATGGCAAGTACTGGGTCCAACAAAGCCATGGAAGGAGGGAGGGCTGGCTGCAGGAAAGAGGAAAATGTGTTTGGGATCAGCAAGGATTTTTGAACCTGCTAAGCCAGATCCTGGGGTTCAAAGAGAATCTCTTGTGCCATGGAGAAGGGTGATAAAGCAACAGCATGGTCTTTAGGGGAAAGTGGCCTGGGCCTTCTCCAGGCTACTCTGTCCCACAGAAGGTGATGAAGACTGAAGAGGGAAAGCAGAGGGAACCTCAGCCATAAGGCGTGGAGGAGGGGCTGAGACTGAGGATGGGGCCAGACTTGGGCTTCTTCTGACATGTTCTTCCTCTGCAGATGTTGAGTTGTGCGCTGCGTCTGAACACTTAACCCAGATGTCCTTGTTCCAGTTTGAATGTGACAAGGACAGCCCCAACTTGCAGCTTCGTTCAGCCAATGGCTGCTACCTAGCCCAGGTAAGACCTTGGCTTTCTGAGCAAGAGAACCCTTAAGCCCTGAGCTCTCCCTCCCTAGAAACACTTGTCTCCTTCTTCAAGGCAGACGACCAGATGGTGAGGTGAACTATGGAGACCCTTGTCAATAAACATTCATTTTCATCCAATAAGCCCATTTTCAACCAAAAAGATCCTCTTTTAAAAAAAACTTTATTGAGGCATAATTTACATACAATAAAATATACTCATTTCAAGTATGCAATAAGGTTTGACAAATGTATACACCTGTGCAATCATACCACACCATATCACAAGTTAGAGAATATTTCCATCACCACAGAAATTCCCTCTTGACCCTTTGCAGTCAGTTCCCCTCCATCCTTGCCCTCCCCACTACCACTGATGTGTATTCTGTCACTATAGATTACATTTGCCTACCCTAGAATTTCATATAAGTGGAATCATATGGTATTACAATATGTATGCGTCTTTCACTCAGCGTAAGGTTTTTGAGATTCATCCATGGTGTTGCATGTATCAGTAGTTCGTTCCTTGTTTTGCTGAGTAGTAGTCCATATTGCTACTCATAAAAAACGTAATTGTTTATCACTTGCTGTTCATCACTTGCTGATGAACACTTGAGTTGTTTCCAGTTTGGGCTATTATGAACAAAGTTGTTATAAACATTCATGTACAAGTCTTTTTGTGGGCCTGTATTTTCACTTATCTTGGACAAATACCTAGGAGTGGAATTACTGGGTCATCTGATAAATGTGTGTTTAACTTTTTAAGAAAATGCCAAACAGTGTTCTAAAGTGACTGTGTTATTTTACATCCTTGCCGGTAACGTATGAGAGTTCTGTTTGCTCCACATCCTCACCAATACTTGTCTTTTTAATCTTTAAAATTTTTTTTAACCATTCTAAGGGGTGTGTAGTGGAATCTTGTCATGGCTTTAATTTGCATTTCCCTTATAATTAATCATTTTGAGCATCTTCTCATGTGCTTGTTGGCTATATATCTTCTCTGTGAGGTATTTGTTCGAATCTTTTGCCCATTTGTTACTGGGTAGTTTGTCTTATTATTGAGTTGTAAAAGTTCTTTGCATGTTCTAAAGTCAAATGTTTTGCCAAATATATGTATTGTAAATGATTTCTCCCAATCTGTGGCTTGCCTTTTCATTTACTTCCTAGTGTCTTTTGAACAGCAAGTTTTTAATTTTGGTGAAGTCCAATTTTCCCATTTTATAAATGGTTAGTTTTTTTGTCCCAAGAAATCATTGCCTACTCCAAAGTTGCAAAGAATTTCTCCTACGTTTTATTCTAGTTGTTTTATAGTTTAGCTTTCACTTTTATGTCTATGATCCATTTCATAGATTTTAGAATCTAGGCTGAGATTCATATCTCTCTGTATGGATATCCAGGCCCCTTTTGGACACTGGGCTCTGGGATATGGCACAGACTGGGGAAATGCATGAGCTGAGGCCACAGCATGTTTTCCAAAAAGGATCTGAAAGCATAAAGCATACCCTGGGAGAATGAAGAAGGCTAGTGGATGGAAGTGGGAAAGAAGGTTTAGGAATAAAAACAATGAGAATAAACCTGATATTTTTGGTCCTTGCTTCCCTTCTCTGTTCCCAATATTCTCTCCAGAGACGCCACAAGAGAGTGATGGCCGATGGGCAGCCACTGGAGTCTGACACCTTCTTCCGTATGCACTGGAATTGTGGCAAGATCTTCCTGCAGTCTCCCAATGGACGCTTCTTGGGTATAGTAGCCAATGGCCTGCTCATGGCCAATGCCACCGTTCCAGGTGAGCCAAGCAGCCGTCCTGCCTGCTTATTCCAAGTCTCAGATAATTTTAGAGGGAGCTGGGGTGTGATAGAAAGAGCACTGGTGTTGGGGTCAGAAGATTTGTGTCTGTATGCTTGCTGAGCCACTGAATTTTTGTCATCACTTGGGCAAACATCTTTGGGCCTCAGTTTCATTGTCTCCATTATAAATGGAGGTAATATCCAACCAGCCTGCCTCACAGGATTATTGTGAGGATTAAATAGATTCAAACATCTCAAAGGAAGGAAGAATATTAAAATTTCTTGGGCTCCTGTACTAAGTGCTTCACAAGCTCCTAGCATAAGACCTGGCATATAGTACGTGTTCACTAAATAGTAAAATATTGACAACACAAATATTGGCAACACTGACAATATCATGTGATTAGTGTCCCCCTTCCTACTCCCATCCGGGAAAGCACTTAGAGGCAGCCTATCCAATAACTCTTTCCTATTTCTTTCAGGCCCAAATGAGGAATTTGGGGTTCTGTTAGCCAACCGTCCCTTCATCGCATTGCGTGGTCGATATGGGTATGTGGGCACCTCGTCAGAATGTGACCTCATGCAGTGCAATATGGATCAACCTGACTGCATTCACCTGCTGCCCTGCCGCCAGGGCATCTACCACTTCCAGGGTGAGTAGTTCCTCTTCCTCATCCCTGGATTCACAGTCTAGCCCCGCTGTAGCCCTAACTCAGACTTCAGGGCCTGCTCATCATAAAAGGAAAAACAGAATTTCTGTTTGTTTTCGTACTTCAAGGCCCCCAGAGTGGGTTGGCAGAACAGAAACCAGCCCTCCTGCATTTCCATAGAGAGACCTGGCAACATAGGCAGGGTGGGCAGTCAGGGAGTGTTGGCATGCCTCCTGGGAGCCTCCTCAGAGGCTGCACTGCAGGAGGACTGCCCTCCCAAATGGCCCACTGACCTGAGTTCTTCCTTCCCCAGCACAGGGCGGATCCTTCTGGTCAATAACATCCTTTGGCACCTTTCGCCCTTGGGGAAAGTTCGCCCTCAACTTCTGTATAGAGCTTCAGGGTAGCAACTTGCTCACGGTGCTGGCACCCAATGGCTTCTACATGCGATCTGACCGAAGCGGCACCCTGTTGGCAGACAGCGAAGACATTACCAAAGAGTGTATTTGGGAATTTTAGGTAAGGTAAAGTGGGTAAGGACCTGAGGGTAGGGGAGCAGGAACTGAGAGGCAAGAGAAGAAGGGAGGCATGTGAGAGTAAGACCAGAATGCACCCCCAGGCTGACTTCTGTCCCACAATTTGATCAACTCCAGACATTTATTCCAAATCTATGCCTTTCCTGTCAGGGCTTCTAAACCTAGACTTGCCAGAGAGAGGAGGGGAAATCAGATCTAGATTTCTCACTACTATGCTGACACTGACCCATGTACTTGCAAGCAAGCCTGCAGGGGACAGGATGAGGTGTGTTCATGTATCTCTCTTCATTAAGAGCAGAGTTTTGCCCCATTTTTAAGGACGACAGGTATGAGGATATGCTTTCTACCCTGTGCACTTTCTATCCCTACACCCCTGGATCCCTGGAGTGTTGATGGCTCCCAGATATTTATCTGCAGCCCTCACCCTTCTCCTGAACTCTAACCTCAACTCTTTCCAACTTCTCAGTTGACAGTTGACTTGGCTTTGTCCTGCCATCCCCTCAAAATCAGCCTCCTCACCCTGCCCTCCAAAGGTGCTTCTTCTTGCCCTCCTCAGGACCATCTAGGGCATTGCCATCCTCTCAAATGCTCAGGCTCAAGACCACCGCACCATCTCTTCTTCCTCCCATTTGTTCCCTTCACCAAACCCTGAAAATTCTTGGGTACTTCCTTAACAAGGCCCTTTGAATACTTGCTCCTTCTTAATTACCATTGCCACCACGTGGTTCCAGGCTTTTCACCAAAAGCCTGAACTGCAACAAGTGCTCCACAGCAGCACTTCCTGCTGCCAGATCCATCCCCACCAAATCTCCTCTCCATGCCAAGTTCCGTGTTCGCTTTCCTAAAATGCTGCCTCCATTCCATCGTTTCCTGGTCACAACTCTTCATGGTACGTCACTACTCTTAGCCCTGTCCCTTCACAATCCACCTCGCTTTCCTGGCTTGTAAAGTCACAGTATGTTGTAGAAAGAGGTTCAGTTTGATATTATGTAGACCTGGAACCAAGAGCTATTAAGGCTTGGTCCTTACCAGCTCTGGAACCTTGGGGAAATTGCTTTAATGTTTCTCGACCTTGGTTTCCTTATCTGTAAAATGGGAATAATATCTACCTCATAGGGTGATGTGAAGGTTAAATGACAATATGAATCTAGATACAGACCCCCAACATATGTTCACTCCTTTCCTCCATTTTCTACCAGTTTTCTACACAAACCCTTTACTATGGCCAAACTGAGAAAAAATAAAATGAAATTCCCATTGGGATCTGTTTTCTTAGCTATTACCTGAAGAGTTTTGGATTGAACTAGATTTCATAGCTCCTTCCAGGCCTGACATTCTAGTAGACAGTGTATCATAGTGGTTAAGAGCTCATTTCTGGACTCAGCACTGGGTTCTAGTTAGATTTTTATCAGTTAAACTTGTTGTTTGACCCTGGGAAAATTAACCTCTCAAAGCCCATTTCTCATGGGTGAAATGAGACTATAGTCTTTGTCTCATAGAATTGTTGCGTTCCATGAGATAATGATTGTAAAATGCTTAGTGAACAGCCTGGTACCTAGCACTCGCTCGCTCTATCAGAAGTCCTCCCCAATCCAGTGTGAATTCTTAGTATATCTTACCTGTTCACTTCAGTCTCCCTATGAACTCTGATGGTATTTTTTGCGCCATTAATTTAATTTTTAAAAAGAATTTCTACTGCCTTTTCCTATAAATTAACTTCACATATGTCTATGTGATCTTTCACCAAGAATGGGACAAATCGCTTTATTCTCTCTTTTCCCACAGGATCTTACCAGCTTTTCTCCTAAAAGCCAGAGTTCAGGAAATGACTGACTGAGGGTTTCTATTTCCCCTTCCCTCCCCAGGCCAATGGGATGCCACCTACAAAAATCCAAATTCTCCAGGAGAAACTACTACACTAAACAGAACAGGAACCCCAGAGTCAAGATCCGTGAGAAGAATATCTGTTACACAACTTTTCCTCCCCAGTTTAGCAAAACACCTGTTTTGAGCAACAATACATCACAAAAGGCCACCCCCAAAATCCTGGTGTGTGTCTGACTCAGTACAGAGTAGGGGTCTGGACGTGGGTGGAGGCCCCAGGCCACTCCAAGTTCTCTCCAGAAGAGGAGAGACCAAATGGTAACCACTTCTTCCAATGATCCTCCCCGTCCCTACCAGAACCACTAGACTTTTCCCGTAAGGAGCCAGCCTTGCCCTGAAGGACTCAGAATGCAGGTGTGACTAGACGTCCTCTAGGTTTAGAAAGAATGAAGCATTATTAATCCTATGGGCAGAGGGTAATGGTGATAATAACACCTTATGCCTATACAGCCCGCCCCTTCACCACCACACCCCCAAAGTTTCCCAGTCATCCCACCTTATCGTTATCTTTGATCCAGTCAGTTGAGCATGACAGGTACTTTCCCCATCCCTGCCCACCTTTTACAGGGAGCTGAGATAATTTGCCCAAGGTCCCATGCCTGGGACCTCTGACTCAATTCTTCAATTAGAGTGGACTTTATTGTCCACTACTCTTTCCATCAAAACAGAGCTTCCAAAATGACTGTCATTCTTGCACTATCTTCATGAGTTTGACCTTTATCTACCCTCTGCCCTATTAACGTTTTTATTGACATAGACTCCTAAGTATATTTACTTAGAAAGGAATATTTTAATCACTATCATAAGTTGGAAGACCAGAATCACTTGCCATAAATAGAAAATGACCATAAAAATAAATACAATAAAAACAAAGTGATGTTATCAAATCCAACTTAGATTTCCCTTGCCTGCCCAAGGATCAGATCCGGAGGCTCCCTTTCCCTATGTTACAAAGAAGGTTAACAACTGTTACAGAGGCACTAAAGACTAGGACCAAAATGAAAACTTTCTCTTTGATGCAATCAGCATTGAAAGGGAGTTGAAAAGAGAATAATTTTCTCATTTCTGACTAAATATTATTTAAAGCAGCATCCACATGCCTCCTTAAATGTTCTCAAATACCAACAGTGATTCCTGATCTCCCCTTTGGGAAAATTGCACCATCCGTAATGAGTGCCTGGTTTTTAAGTCCATTGAGAAGAGAAGCTGAAACCAGAACATGAGAAAGATTCTGTCCGGATAGAGGAAAATGACTTCAAGTTTTTGTAAATATGTTTCTCCTCAAGAGATATAAAAGAATTTAATAAAAATTTTAATCTAATAATTAAAGATTGAGAACGCTAGAGACCAGGGCATCTCTTTTTCTAAAGAACACTAAGAACAAGCCAAAGATGTGGAGTGGAATATATTCTTCAGAAAGATAGGACCTTGGAGGTCATTTAATGCAGAATCTCCTCTCAGCATTTCATAAACATGTATACACCCTCAGATACATGGGCATGCATGTGCCCAGAAACACACACACATGCACACACACACATGCACACACACACACTCTTATGCCTCGTTCCCCACAAATGGCCATCCATCCTCCACTTGAATATGCTCAGCCATGGAGCCTCAGCTGACAGCTCCTTCTGTTGCTGACGTCAGTCCTGCTGCTGAAGTGAACGGCTTATTCTCACACTGTGCTGTGCAGATTGTCACCCCACAAACCTCACCCGTTTCTCTGGGCAGTGTGTCCAGCGTGGCCTCCAGCTTGAGGGTAGAGAAGGCAGAGAAGTGGTAGAGTGTGCTCTGTTACCCTTGGAATTTCATTCTAGAGCTGTGCTGTCCCATAGAACTTTTTGTGCTAATGTTTAATGTCCAATACAGTAGCCGTAGGCCACAAGGAACTGTTGGGCATTTGATATGTGGCTTAATTGTTCATTTTAATTTCAGTAAAGAGCTTAATTATTCATTTTAATTACATTTAAATAACCAAATGTGGTTGGTGGCCACTTATTGAACAGCACAGCTGTGGAGTATTTGATGATAAAGAGACCTCTTGAAGGACAACTTCTGGACCAGTGCCTGTCCCAGATGGGAGTAAACAAACATGGCCCCACTCCCCCCTACCCTGCTCTGTTTCACCATCATCATTCCATCCTCTGCCATTCAAAAGGGGAAGAATTTGAGCCAGCACTGGTGGGCTAGGGGTTAAAGTTTGGCATGCTCTGCTTTGGCAACCCGAGTTTGGTTTCTGGGCACAGAACCACACCACTGGTCTATCAGTAGCCTTGCTGTGGTGGCAGCTCACAGAGAAGAACCAGAAGAACTTACGATTATACACAACTATGTACTGGGACTTTGGGGAGGAAAAAAAGGAGGAAGCTTGGCAACAGATGTTAACTTAGGGTGAATCTTTCCCTGCAAAAAAAAAAAAAAAAAAAAAAAAAAAAAGGAAAAAGGAAAACAAGACCCCTCAGTGAAGGGAGAAAACATTTTTCAAAAAAAAAAAAGAGAATTTGGAGGGAGAAGCCCACCCTCCATCCCAAATATCCCCTTCTCCACCCCTTTTCCCCATGTTCCTCTCTTTCCCTACATCCCAAGGCTTCCCAGGAGGAGCCTAGAGATTTCTCTGCAGAGAGACAACATTGAGAGGGTTTGGAACTTAATGCCAAGGAGCAGCAAGCAGACATGCCCAGGAGCATGTATAAAGGGACAAGCAGAATGTGAAAGATGGCATTTCCACTCTGTTTGCTGCTATGCAAAAAGTACATATGCAATTAAGGAACTAAAGTCTGTTTTCTTACATGAAAGAATTATTGTAAATTTTCTCAGATGTGATAATGGTGTTGTCATTATGTAAGAAAAGATCCTTATTTTTTGGAGATCCATGCTGGAAGACTTAGGGGTGACATGCCATGACATACTGTCAGTGTGAGTGTATGTGTGCACCTGTGTGGGGATATGAGCAGCCAAATACCAAGATAGATACATAAATACATACATTCATATGTAGAAACATACATACATAGATGCATAAATTAGATAGATGGGATACTTACATATATAGTTACAGACACATAAATAGATACATTAAATAGATAAATGATGGATATATACATGCATAGTTCCATAGATAAATAGACTAAATAGGGCAAATTGTATATAATTACTAAATGTAGAGATGGGAGTATGAGTGCTCATGGGAAAAACATGATGTACAACAGGAACTACTGCTAGTTAAAAAAATGTTTTTATTACTGACAAGTGGAGGCCTTTTAAGAAAAGTGTAAGAAGGTGGGCATGGCTTCTCCAGTGCCTCCTGTCAGGAGGCTTAGGAGGGGCAACAGGGCAGGGCCAAGCAAGGTCCACAGATGAGGAAGAGATGCAGGAAAGAGGAGGAGCAATGATCTGCTCAAACAGGACGGTATCAGATCCTTCCTGCCCCATCTCCTTTCCACTCTGGGCCTCCTCCCTCATTCCAGGCCTTGCAGTTGTGGGGAGCCAGGCCAGAGCAAGGCCTGAGGGGCACCAAGACCGGCGACGAGGGCAGTGGCAGGAGGGGCAAGGATGGCAAGGTAGTGCTGAATCCAGGCAGCTCGGCTGTAGGGGGCAGGTAGCCTGCAGGGACGAAGAGAAGGTGAGCTTGTTGCTGCAACGCCACCCCTCAAAGTCCCTGATGGAGAGAGGGGCAGACTTCAGTCCTCTACCATAGATATATATACTCAAATTCCAATCGCACCCCCTTTTCCTGCTACACTATCAGTGGTACTATAGACTCAGGGGGTACTAGTCTCCCCAACTTTGTGGGAATGAGGAAAGCTATATCAAGTTTCTTTGGATGACCCTGGCCAGAGATCCATGCCCTGCTGTGGGTCAAGGAATCAGTTAGCCCTCCCCACACCCTGCAGGAATGAGGCCTGGCCTGGATTCTTACCCCAGCAGGGCTTGAGACAGGCTTGGGGTGGGGTGTCACTCAGATGCCTCTCTGATGCTGTCCCCCAGCACAGCTGACAGCAGGAGGGACCCAAGGATTCCAGGGCAGGCAGGGCTGCTGTGGGCATACTGCCAGGGGACTGCTAGAAAAAGCAAGAAGAGACCCCCCAGCTGCCAGTGATACTTCCTGTTTAGCAGGACTGGGACCCCAGGGCTGCCCGCCCGCCAGGCTGTATCCTATACAACTCCAGAGGGCACCATTTACATGGTAGACTATGAGGATGGCACTTTCTGGAAGTGTGCACTATCGGGGCCCAGGGGAGTCGTGAACTCCAGCTGAGCCTTCACTGCAAATGGGAGAAGCAGTGAGCCCTTCAGTCCTCCCAGTTCACAGACTTTTCTCTCTTCCTGGATACCTGTGCAGAGACGATCCCTGGGGAAGCACTTGCTAACGTCAGACCCTGGGAAGCACCTACAAGGGGAGGGTGGATCCACTCAAAGGGAAGAACAGGGGTCCAGGGAGCGGGAAGTGGCAATGAAAGGCAAGGGGGTTCTAGGAAAGGCAGCAACTTCGGGGGGTGGGAGTGAGAGAAGATGGATGCTACAACCTTAAACTGCCCTCCTCCCCAAGGTAGGACCTTGGGAGCCTGGGAAAGAAGGATTAAATCCCAGGGAGGGTAAATCTGGGACAGTGCAGCCCTTAAGAGTAGGGACTGTGTGTGCCCAGCATCTAATACAGGGCCTGGCACACGGGAGGTGCCAAGCAATTGTTTGGGGATGGATGGGGTGGATGGATGGATGGGTGGATGGATAGGTGGGTGGGTGACTGGGAAGGTAGATGAGTGGCTGGATGGATGTGCAGAGAAATCACCTGAGAGTTGCATTTCCCACTTGAGCTTCTCTTGTCGGCGCCATTTGGCTCTTCGGTTGGAAAACCAGACCTGAGGGAGGGCAGAAAGACCTGGCTGTGCTCTCTGTTGCGTGGCACCTGCTACTCTCACCATGAGTTCCTGGCCTGGACTCAGAGCACAGACCCTTCCTGACACCTGACGTTCTCCCTCCATAGTCTGGCCTCTGCTGTCTTCCTCAACTCAAAGGCTTGGAGTGAGGAGGAGAGAAGAGCTATCAGCAAGGGGAACAAGGAGGGTCTTGTCTCTGATTTCTGCTCCAAACAAATCTCTTTCTACCTCTTGCCCCCTTCTCTACCTCACTGGAACCCAAAGCCCTAGAAGCAGACTCTTTCTCCTTGTAGTTT